CAGCTCTATTCAGTAAAGCATGTAGTCCTATACAATCTAGTGGGATTTAAGCACTTTCTTAAATGCTGTGTTAGCTAGGAATTAATTTGAAATCCATTCCAGCTGTAATTTTATTTGGCAAGTTCAGAGCTAAATTCAAAGTTTAAGTGTTAAATTTACTGTTAAAGTAAAACTTAGAATCTTATCTAAAGCAAAATATGTTTACTTAATAGTTTTGCTTTTACTGAGTATGTTAATGTTCATCCACAGCTAAACATATTACAGTAGCTTTAGTTTTGCACTCGTTCTTTTTTTTCACTGACTATGCCTTTACTGACTATGCCTTTACTGACAGTATGGCTGTCATCCTGATGTGTCTAGAGGCATATTTCGATCCAAATTTTTTTGATTTGCATATTCTAATATTATCTGGTCAAGAGACAGACCCACCAGTATCAAATACAAGCCTAATGACAAGAAGCTTGTATTTCTTAATTAACTTGTGCAGTCTGCTTAGATACAGTCTACAGATCTTCCCTGAGCTTTTCAGACTGCTGATTAATGAGAAGAACAGGAGCAAGCATGTAAGGCTCAATCAGTGGTCTAACAACACATTTCAAACCTTCTCTCTCTTACTCATTTTATTGTATTCTGAAAACAAATGAATTGTACTCAGAAAAATAATATTCTGTAATTTATCTGATAAAAATATCATTAAGCTTTTTAATTGAAACAGAGAAGATGTATTAGAAATGCTGTTCTTTTAAAAGAAATGCTATTCTTTTAAAAGAAATTCTATTATTTTAAAAGAAATCATTCTCTTGAATACATACTAACCTGGATGCTTCCACTCCCCTCTCCAATATGAAGCTTCCTCCAAAAGTATTTCAAAACCATATTTTGTTTTGTTTTTCTTTTCATCTGTGTCTCTGCTCCTTGTGTTAATCTCTGAAGCTTTGGTCACAGCTAAATAGAAATATTTGTAATACGGACGATTGATTTTTTTTCATTCTCTTGAATACATACTTGTTTGTCTCAAATAATGCTTTCAATATAGGCTTTCATTTATCATTAGGCACCTCTTTCAAAACAGGCAAAAAGCTGTTGATATTTCTTTTACTGGGAGGTGTTTGAAGAAGGAGTAATAGATTTAGTAGCACAATAGAGACAAAAGCCTGAGAAATTTTGTATTAAATATAACTTTGTATTAAAGATAACTTTGCATTAAAGATAACTTTTATGTGTTCTAAAAGTAAGTTTTGTTTAAAATTAGACTTTCATTCTCATTACTGAAATGATTTCCTAGCTTCTCCAAAGATGGTGGAGATTCAGTTTTAGCTCTTCAGTTTTAAAGAAAATAGATCAAAGAATAACATTAAAAGCAATAATAAGGGTTTTTATATTGAAATTGAGAGTAAGTTAATACTAATTGATCTAGAGGCTGGGATTAATCTGGAGAGGGTCTCTAAAGCTGAAGTAGCTCTATAACCAATCTATACTTATAGGCTCTCGTCCACTCTCTATGCATTAAAACATGCCTTGCACAGTACTGGTGACTCTCCTCCCTCTTTTTTGTTCTGTATCACATAGTGTAGAAGTACTTCCTCAAGAACAAAAGTCTGGCAATATTTTCCTGGCTCTCAGCCAGCAGTCATGCTATTCCACTACAGTTCACCAGTCCCTTATCATACCCTAGCTGAGCTGGCAACCACAAAGTATCATACTTTGAGGTTCATTTTTCCACTTGAACACTGTGAAACATTTAAGAAAGGTGCCATCCTTAGAAGGTAGCTTCCTAAGAGAGAGGAGAGCAGAGGAGTAAGAGCTCTTCTGAACCAGGAGGAAAGGATTAGTGAATATCATCTCTGTCTAACCTATGTGCTAAATCCTAACATCCTACTCAGTTTTTAATCAAGCAAAGCTCTTTCTGAAATCAGTGGGTTTTTCCTCTTAGTTGAGCACTAGATAAAGTTTGTTTGAGTGTTTCAGGACTTCTGTCATTCAGTTTCTGTGATTCATTCTGCTTTTTTTTTTTTTTTTTTTCCTTAAGCATATCAAGTCCTGGCTGTTAGTCCTGGCTGTTATATATCTGATGATAGAAGAAGTCACTGTTAGTGAAGAAGCATAAAATTATCAACTTTTCCCATCTTCAGAGTATTGACAGTTGTCAACTTACATTTTCAGAGGCTAAGAAATGCACTAAGTCTCATTTCACTCT